GAAAATGTTTAAATAGTCCAAGTGACTACAGTGGCTCAACTATAAGTTTATCAAGCGATGAGAATACTTTTTGTGTGAAAAAAAATAAAAAAAAATAACGACTTTATTCGACTATTCCTTTTCTTCCTTGTGGGCCTGAGACGAGAGTTCAAGAGATTTCCACGACGCATGCGCGAGAACTGAACAAGAAGTAGTAGAAGAAGAACATCCTCTTCTCAGTTCTCGCGCATGCGTCGTGGAAATCTCTTGAACTCTCGTCTCAGGCCCACAAGGAAGAAAAGGAATAGTCGAATAAAGTCGTTTTGTTTGTTTTTCCGCACAAAAAGTATTCTCGTCACTTGATAAACTTATAGTTGAGCCACTGTAGTCACTTGGACTATTTAAACATTTTCTTCAATGACTTTCTGGGCCGTCAACTTTCACTCCCTTAGGAAGCCTATGTAGCAGTGATCCAGCTCTCAAATTTAATCAAAAATATCTTCATTTGTGTTCCGAAGATGAACGAAGGTCTTACGGGGTTGGAACAACATGAGGGTGAGTAATTAATGACTTAATTTTCATTTTTGGGTGAACTATCCCTTTAATGCCGAAATTAATCTGCAGCAGTCAGGGGGTACAGGTAAGTGCTCTTTAAGTTGCTTTTGTTCATTATTATTGTAATGTTATGTGCTTTGAGACATGAAGTAGTTTAACACCATCTCTCGTGACTCTTTTGTTTGCTCCCTGCTGAATGCATTCATGTGTTTTGGAGGAGTCGTGGAGACACTCTGAAGGGAGGGTGGTATCTTATGCTTTCAAAGCTAGCTTGCTATTGCTATAGCCTCTCCAAAAATTGCCTACCACCTTTAATCTATAATAATAATAAATGATGACCAGAGAGCACATCAATAGAAAAATTCCTGCAAAATCCTTGGCATAGTTCATTGCTTATTAAAAAAAAGGATATGTTCGGGAAAAAGAGCATATGGTAACCCCATAGAACATCTTAGCAAAAGTATCTTCTTCCCAGACAGTCACTTTAAAACTGAAAAAGTATCTGTCCTTGTATTCTAACTTCTTTATTCAATGATATAAGCTAATGACAAGACCACTCTAGAAAGCAGGTGTTCAAAAAGCACTTACATTAAGAAGTATAAAAGCCTGAGCACCTTCCTGCAGAGCTGTTTTTACCAGTGCCATTTAGTTTGAAAAAAAAAAAACCATGTAATAAAAAATGATGCCGTCTGCTGATGTCTGCAGGGTAATTAGCTCTCCCTTTCACTCCCTACCAAACTTCTGCCATTCAACATGTTACTTTAAACACAGTGGCTGAACTCTCTGTGAACCTGGCTGGTGTTCTACTGATGGCTGTAGCTTCTCATGTTGTTCAAACCTCAGAGAAACTTCCCCTGTCTAGATTACTCCCCCCTAACCCAACACTAGCCTGTTTACGCATGATAAAATCGTCTGTCTGAAATTAAATCAATAGTTGAGGACATTGATGAGTCACTGTCACATTTGCCCATTTCCTTGTTTTGCACACTGATTGCGTGAGAGCAACCATTAAAAACAAGAAGTTGTGACTTGTTTGTTTCCCCTTGTGAACGTGCTGTGAGGTCACTGTCAAGCTAGAATTCACGCTGGATACTTTCCGTTGCGTTCTTGTTCTGTGGTCTTTCATGCAGACAAGTTCACCTCTGTGTCACCTGTAATGAGAGAGGGGCTTATTCATGATCAAGAAAGCCACTTTAAAGCATGACCTCACCTCATGCTCTATGACATTTTAAAACCCTAGGCAAAGTAAAGTGGTCGCAGAGCCATAGACTCTATATTGATCGCATTAACCTCCTGTTCATTTAGAAATAGACATGAATAAATATTTTAACACCCCTACTCAGGGGTCGCAGCCAATAAATTTTTTTTTTTTTTTTTTGAGGTGGCACAAATGGATGTCCTGGCTCACTTAAGCCCCAAGTGACATAAAACATGACATAAAAATAACACTTAATAAGATAACATATAATGGACCATTTTCACGTTTCCTGGGGTTCTCAGAAGTCATACTGTAGTTGGGTAAATGTTTATAGTGGTGAACGTAAACTGTAGCCTACAACAAATGCATTGCTTGCGTTCTCATTTCCCCTATAGCAAAAAGCCTCCCTCAGCCGTTGTAGAAACACTCATGCAGAAGCATTAACCATTTTTCTGTAATTTAACGACAAGGTAATATAACAGTATAGTGTTATAAATGTGCATTAAAAATAAGAAATAAAAAAACATTGCTAGGTTTATTATTTCAATAACTTGTGGAAACAACTGTGAAAAGGGTCCATATGCAAATAGTATTTTTTGGAAGTTGCATGGTTTTAAAATCTGAGAGGTCAAGCTTGTACCTCACTCCTCCTCAGGAGTCTTCTTGACATCTATTAGAGGGGCAGATGGCCTCTTGTCTTGTAGTGGTGGGGGGGTAGGAGAACAGGAGGTGTGAAGTGTGGCCTGCTCAAAGAGCTCAGGCTTGAAGGAGCCACACACAAAGGCAAGCACCCAGAGATTAGTGACATGACACAGCCATTCTGAAAGCACACAAGCGGAGCACGGCGATTGTGCTTTGTTGCTGAGGAAAATGGTGACACATCTGGAGCAGAACTGCATTCAGCTCAGGGTTTCAAGGCCTCCCACAGGGCTGCTCTCCTTCATTATCTGCTCAATGGGTGGAAAGTCAGTGCATGGGCACTTTAAAAAAATAGAGTCCAAAAAAAAGGTCTGAAATTCTTAAAATGAACTTTTTTGTTTCGTTAAACACAGCTAACTAAATAGGGAGCTAACTGACTAGCTAGGGTGAAATGTTTTTTTTAGCCTACTGATAAATGTATATTTCCCATAAATAAAAGGAAACTATTTTTATTGTTTTTTCCCCTCACAATAATTTGTCTGTCAACATTATGACACTAGCTATGTTTCCATCCACACGTTTTTATGCGCATTAAGTGATATCGAATGAAAAATGCCTTATGGAAACAGTAAAATTCGATTGAATTTCATGAATATCGACTTAAATGAAATACGATCGGTCTCATCGGATTATATCTTGATCGATATACGACTTATGCGATAAACGCGGATGGAAACGTTATTATGGTGCGATCCATTTTGCCTAGTAAAACTTTGTTCGCAAATGTTGGCTTGAATGTTGAGCAATTCGGTGAGAAAATTAATGGAAACACCTTAACATGTCTCAAATCAATTCGATACCAATTTGATCGCAAAACAGCATGTGACGTCATTACGCACAGGTTTTTATCCGCTTTAAAGCCGTTTGATGGAAACACACTTTCACCAGCTTTATTCGCATGAGGTTTTTTACCGAACTTCAGATAATTCGATTGACAAGTGGATGGAAACATGGCTACTGTTGTGTGATTTTAATAGCTGAATATGGATATGGTTGCGAATTTTTTGTATCCATATCCAACAATTAAAATAGAATCTACCATATTAATGGAAAATGCCTGTGAAAAGGTTTAAGCTAGAGTCCAAGACTTGTTCAGATACAGGTTCAGGGTTTGCAGTCACATGGTATTTGCAGGAACTGGTTAATCTGATCTGATTTATGTTTGTGGCAAACAGAACTTCCTATTTATAACGACGTTATGTCATTTAAGTTCTTTGATCGATGTAAATCATCTCTTCACCAAGCACAGCAAATCAGAACAAAAATTAGATATGCACATATGCTGTTCCTACAAACTCATTATCATGGAGAATGATAATGCAACACAGTTTTACACATCTATGTTCTCATATGTCAACGGTTTTTAGCATGGCATGGTTGAGAAGTTAATTATGTAACATCTTGCTCCTGTTTGTATGCTAATTGTTATAGCTGTGCTTCGAGGGTAGGGTCGTGTGTTCATTACAGCACTCCAGGGCAAAACAGGGTTCAGAAGTCATTGCACTTTAGTCATAAATCTCCCGATCTGCCTAGTCCTGTCAGTATTAATGCATCTCATTGGCTAACAAAGACAAAGTAGAGTTTTTTTTGTGATTCACTTCACAAAATGTGACTGAATTCTCCCAAAATAAACACATCACACAAATGCAGACAGACAGACGGAAAACAACATGTGCTCTGCCATCTGTGAAAGAAGGCTGATTATGATGTTCATTTGCATCCTTATGATGGTTAAATTCATATTGATGGAAGTATATGGTGTTGGTTGAACCATTACGTTTCGCTTTTTTGTGGGTTCAAAACTTATATGAAAATCTTAGAGTCATATGCAATAAACTCTCATGTTCTGTTAAGACTGACTGACCCCATATTGTTTATTAAAAATTAATAATAGTTATTTTAAGTCTTTTAAATGTTACATTTTCTTAAAATGTACCAAACAGAGAAAGGCAGCATGAAAATTCATTGCATTTATTATTTATGTGGAAGACATTTGAAAATTAAATTTGTGTTTTAATAATTTATTATATATATATATATATATATATATATATATATATATATATATATATATATATATATATATATATATATATATATATATATATATATATAATGAAAGGTTGTAAATGTATATCAAAATGTTAAGTATGCTTTTTGAGCTATTAAAATGACCTTGGGGTCTTACAGACAGGGGTCCCAAACAGAGAACAAGGGTTAAATAGTAACCTCATCTGACAGTGACCCTGTCAAGATTTACATTTAATAAACCAATATGGTAAACAGTCACCAGGTGGCACTCCAAACACTTTTATTCAGGATCCTCAATCTTCCCCTTATTCTTTTGATTGAACTTAAATCAAAGCATATGTCAAGCGACTTTCAGATTCCAGGTTTAATCTGTGATCACTCTGTTGAGTGCTATTAGAGATGACATATATCAGTGCTTTAATCAAAGTTTGATGAATCACAGTGTTTCATGTAAAGACTGCTCTCTTTTTCCTTCTTTTAAGCGCTTGTGTTCTCTCTCCTCTGGGTGTTCAGATGTTCTCACGATGTTAAATTCATATCCAGCTTTCTTATATTGCATGCACTGCAAGACTGTACCACTGTAAAGATAGGAGATAGGAGTCTATCAGTTTGCCACATCTTGACTCTTCCTTTTCGCATTAATTTTGTATATCACAAAAAACAGTTGTTTTAACAGGGGTGTGTATACTTTTTTATGTCCACTGTAAACTGAATCGAAAGCCACTTTTCAGGCTTTAAACCCTGACATTGATTGGTCTATATATCTATTTCTCCATGACTTTAGTTAGAGATGGCTGGGTTTTGGGTGAGAAGCAACCTGCTGCGTATAGGGCCAGACTCCTTTTCCTCTCTCCCACGCCCACTTCTCCAGCAGTCAAGGCTAACATATACTTTCTCCAGTTTCCCTCAGAAGAATAATTGGGCCTCCTCCTTGTTTTATTGTTGCTCTCCAGATCATAAATCAGTAAGAGGGATGGTGGCGGTTCCACCGTGTGGCTCCACTCCTGCCCTGCAGCCATGATGGGGAGTTGCTCTCTAGTGACATGTAGCCTAGTATTCCCATGTGTGCGTGGGTATGGATCCCAGAGTAAAGGCTGCCACAGGAAACAAAAGATGGCTTGTATTATTGTGACCGAGTGCCTAAAGGCTAATTAGGCAGAAAAAAGTGAGAGAAAGCCTGCAAATCAATCATGCCGATGCTGCCTCTAAATAATGAATGACAAAATAATGAATTTTTAAAACATTTTTGTTTTCTGTTTTTCTTGATGTGGTGGAACAACATGCCTTTGTTAGTGGGCATGTCAAAACCAAAAGAGAACTTTTGATATGGTGATCTTTTAGGGGTTTTTTAGTTTCTTCAGTGAGGCTATAGTTTCACATTCAGACCGAGTTGAGATAAAGTGTGATTTGGTCTGCTGATCAAAACCACTTCCTGCTGCAGAACAAATTGTTCTTGGCACTGTTTTTTTTTCGTTTTCCTTTTTCTTCATATTGACGTATCATGTTATGTGTGCAAATGAGAAATGACATTTGAGCAGTAGGCTAATTCATCCAGAGCTCTTACAGACATTTTCAGAACGGTTGCTGCTGTTCTAAAACAGATATTTGATATCTATTTATTTATACATTTCAGGCAGACAGTTGTTGTGCATTAGCCTATAATTATCAGACATGCACCATAAAACTTGTGGAAAAAACAGTAGCCCTAGCCACTAAAAATGTAATATGCCCATCTATGGCAAAATGACAATCATTATCATTGGATGTAGCGGAGAGGGTGATATGTGAATGAATGGAGACTCGGTGAATCAGTTTTTGAACCGTCTCCTTCGCAAAACGATTCAAACTTCCGAGTGCTATTTGAAGTGAATCGTTTCGTCACGCTACACTAGTTTGAAAATAACCGTCAAGCTATATACAGGTAGGTCTATGAACATAATTTAATAACTTTAACTAGTTACTCCCCAGTATATCATATTTGCACGGGAATGTTCAAAGATTTGAGCCCTTATCTGCCGGGGGGGGGGAAGGAAAAAGCGAAAAAGGACCGCGTGTATTGTGAAGCACAGCAACCTCACATAGAATTCTTTTTCAAACTAAGCAGCTTTCTTTCAACACGTCGAATATCCGTGCGATCACATTCAACCAGTTGCGAAATCTGCGATAAGCTTTCGCGCCCGCTCAAATTACTAATAACGTAGAATTTTATCTCACCTAACGTTAGGCCTATGCGAAATGATCGTTTCCCCCCCTCCTCCGCAAATTCCATCGACTTAATGGCGAACATAAATCCCCTTATTTGGAAGACAAACCGTGCGTCTTGACAGTGAGTAGCCTACTGCCTCATTTTCAGTTAGTTTAATTGTGAAGGATGAGATTAATTTGTTTCAGTCAGGAAAAACAAACATTAGAGTAATTTATACTGTTGTCTAAACGTTCTCGAGTGCTACTAATTCGGAAACACAATTAAAGCTCAGTGTTAAAAAGGTGAACAAAGATGAAAACGCAGATGAAACGATTAGTTGCTCCTTGTTCTGGTTCGCTGCAGGTGTGTTTCAGTTTTCAGAAAGTCATAAACCAGTGATGGTATGCTCGGTAATTTAGGAATACAAATTGAACAAGCCGATGTTGCAAAGAAACTTCAGGCAAGGTGAAGGAGCATGGCAGAAAACAGATGTAACAAAACTGAGAGCAATAAAGAAACCTCTTAAAATGGAAATGACTTGCACTAGTCATCTCAGGCAAGCTGCAGTTTAAAACCCACCTGTTTCTTCTCATCTCAAATGGCACGATTTATCAGGCAGGATTGGGGGGAAATGAATGTACTGGAGGTAATTTTCCACCGTATTAGATTTTAAACAAAAGCATGTGAAATTATCCATAGAGACTGCGAAACCGCTTTACCCGCAGTTATGAAAATTAAACATTGTGGGAGGCAGGCTTTTCAGGGGATTGTTGATACATTACCCCTGATATTATGCAATTTGTTTGTCAGTATATTTTTAGGGTAATTTTTATTTCACCTTATCTCAAACTCCCCCTGTTTAAATGCCCATAATTGAGACAAAGCTTTCTAATTTGGAGTTGGATCCCTCGAGACACCTTACAGGAATATAATGACACCTCGCCGCCATAATTATTAACATGTGCATTTACAGCGAGGAACACTTAGCATTTGGATTAAACCATTGATCTCAATTGGTCCAGGTGGTTTGTCAGCTAAATTGGTTTACACAAATCAAAGCAAATAGAAGATTGTTCCCCCGCTGCCAGTGTGTCCAACGGCCAGTACCCTTTGTGTTTTGTTTAGTCAAAGCTTACAAAGCACTTCAATTATTACGCCAGTGTTTATATCAGTGCTTGAGATGACAGCCATTTCTTCAGTGGTGGAAATCAAGTAGCTCTTTGTTTCTGTTTACAAACAGCCATAAAGCAGCTAAATGGATAACAAAATGATGAAGATGCAGACGCACAAGAGGAACATTAATCCAAGTGAGATGGAAAATCCGCTGACAGGTATGTCGACCCGTACTACTATTCTAATAAACAAACCACTCTGTTTCCCAGGTAATACGCCTTGCTGCTTCCACTTCGGTAAATGGCTTCAACTTTCTCATCTTTGGCCCTGGAAGAGCAGGGGGTTAATTTTTACATGTCTTCGCTTTGACAGCGCTATGGTTAAATATTTCCCTTGGCCATAGTTGAATTGCGTATACTTTTAATAGTGGTGAGGGTTGGAGCAGGCAGGTCTGGGGACCGGAAGGTCCCCGAGATGCTGGGGCCAAATTGACAGGCCCGTCTATGTTGGCTCAGTCTTCATTACAGCAGGATGATCCTTGCCAACCCTGGTGGCAGCCAATTTGCTCTAGGACAGATGAATGTGGAGAGGTATATGAAGGCAGTGTTTTCCCACAATCCCTCTGCTGTGTGCTGAGACCTCTGCCACAGTACTGACATCTTATTTATACCTCATTGTTTGAGGAAATGTTGAATAAACCATTTCAACATTTGGAAATGTTGTGAGATGATGAGATCATCAGATATTGAATCCCAAGAGATCAGTTCTGTTCATTTGAGTAGTGTAGACTACTTTTGTACTTTCCTTTACATGCTAATAGTGAAAAACCCAACACTTTTGTTTTCCACCGATCTTTGAAAGTATGTTTGGAAACGGTCAGTTACCGTTAGGGAAATGTCATTGATTAAATTCTGTTTTGTTAAAACACTAAGGCCCTGTTTACACCTGGTATTAAGATCCATTTTGGTCGATCGGATCACAATGAACAGGTGTAAACGTGATCTAAAACGTTTCGAGCTTGTCCACTTTCGACCACTTCCAGAGGTAGTTGAAAAGTACGTTTGGACAGCCACAAAAGACCGTCTACTCTCCGCCTACTGACTTAATGCTAAGCATTATGGGAAGTGCTCTTGCCAGATGGGATTTAAACTTGGCTGAAGACCCAAGTTTGGTTTAAAGATGAAAAACAAAGCAAGCACAATGTTCTCTCACCATTCCTGATTTTTAACACGCAATCAAAGCGTTCAGCGTGGTGCTTGCAGTTGTCAGGGCAGAAAAGAAAGCTGATGCTCTCCCGTGCTTCTCTGTCGTCTCCAGGCACGTTCATATGTAAATTGCCCAAGCTTATTATTTTGTCCGTTATTGAAAGATCTGAAAAGAGTAAGACCCTCCTTGAAGATATCCGGGCAGAAGTGGTTGAAAGTGTACAAAAGAGACAGGATAAATCACCAGGTGTAAACGGGCATGTCTGCTTGTGATCTGATTGACCAAAACACATCTTAATACCAGTGTAAACAGGGCCTAAAGGACAAGCAGCACTTTTAAGTGTTCCCTTGGTTTTAATTAGCCTCTTTTACCTGTCAGGTGAGTGAGGTGTAAACACCGCCCCGGGCCGGTGGTGAAATTGGCCAATTCTGTCATTGCATAGTGAGCTGAGGGAAAGCGCAGAGTTCTTGCATGCAAAGTCTTTTTTTCTTCGTGTTGGCATGCTATTGAGCAAAACAAGCTGTTTTGGGTACATGGCTTCCTAACAGAATATAAATGCTAGAGAAGATGCTTACTAAGCACATATATGTTCTAAATTTAATATGCAGATTGCATAATTTACTATGAATGATTATAAATAAATATATATATATATATATATATATATATTAGGGCTGTCAAATGATTAATCGTGATTAATCACATCCAAAATAAAAGTTTTTTTTACATAATATATGTGGGTGCACTGTGTATAATTATTTTATATATATAAATACACACACATGCTTGTATATATTTAAGAAATATTTTCATGTATATACTGTATATAGATTTATATATAATTTATGTTATATGTAAATATAAATATTTTATATATAAATAATATTTTTTTCTTAAATATACATGCATGTGTGTGTATTTATATATATACAAAATAATTATACACAGTGCACCCACATATATTATGTAAAAAAACCTTTTATTTTGGATGTGATTAATCGTGATTAATCATTTGACAGCCCTAATATACACTCACCGGCCACTTTATTAGGTACCCCATGCTAGTAACGGGTT